TCGGAGCCACGTTTTCAAAGCCCAGATTTCTGAAAAATGCTCGTGTTAGTCGCGTGGGGGTATCAATGAGGAATGAGGAATCCATTGGTGTGTTTGCGATTCGAGACGGATAGTGCTGCACGAATTATTTTAGGTTAGGTTAGAAGGTTGGGCTAGCTGAGTTCCCTTGCGGAGCCTAGTCATGCCGCCGCCACTCTCGGAAACACTCCTCCTTATTTATGGCGTTTTTTCCCGCAACGGTGGCGCCGCCGCCCGAAAACAACCTTGTTAAGTGAATATGTATAATTCAGATGCTCATTAAAAAGGGCGCCAAGATGATAACTCCATCTTTTGTCGCGCGAGCGAGGCCGACGCGTTCCAGAGCCACAACAATCCCTTCGGAGCAGCTGTGCCGCTGCAGCCAATGAGATTACGGAGATGGACCCAGCGGCCTGAGATCGGCCCTGCTGCAGCAATTCTGTTTACAAGTCTCGGTTTTTCTGGGGAAAATGAAGAAACATGGCCACTCTGGCGGCGGCCGACGCGCCGAGGGGAGACGCCCCGCCCCGCCCCGCCCCGCCCCGCCCCGCCCGCCCCGCCCCGCCCGCCCCGCCCCGCCCCGCCCCGCCCCGCATGCTCAGCTGTATTTGCTTCACACCGCGCTGCTGCCGCGCTGCTGCGGGACCAACGTCTCCATTCATCTTACACCCCTTTTCCTTTGCATCTTAATGCCTTTTGACTTGGCGCGAAGCAGACGAGCCTGGGGAGCCGTGGGGCGTGGCGGGGCGAGGCGGGGCGAGGCGGGGCGGGGCGTGGTGGGGCAGGGCGGGGCGGGGCGGGGTGAGACTCGAAATTCGATGCTGCACGCAGATGTAAACTTTCAGGGCGCGACACTTTCGGCAGCCGATCCAAGAGCGTTAGTTCAAGACCCTAAGGTTCGGCTTCCCCCTTCAAGTTTCTGGCGTCTTCATCCAGCAGAAATATCACTTCACAACGCATCATCTGCTGTTGCCGCTACCTTGCGCGGCCGCGTGGCCCCGGCCAGTATCGCCGACTGACTGCACACAACCCCTATAACCAATACAGTAGTTGGGCCAACTCAAATCCAATTCCGAGCCAGGCCGTGGCACCGCTCTGCGCCCCTCCGCACCGCTCCACAGTGGGTCAGAAGACCGGTGGAGGCGGCCAAAACTCTAGACGCGTTTTGAGCTGCAGAGTCGCTAAATGGGACTCGAACCGAACGTGTGATCCCACCAATGGATTGCTCTCCGAACGAGGAATCCATTGGTGGGGTCACACGTTCGGTTCGAGGTCTGTTTAGCGACTCTGGAGCTCAAAACGCGTCTGGAGTTTTGTCCGCCTCCACCGGTCTTCTGGCCCACTGTGCGCTCTGCACGGCCAACTCTACGGGACCGACCGCAGAATCGGCCGCCAAAGCTCTGCGCTCTGGTCCGGCCTGGCTCGCCCTGCCCTGGCATGCTTCCTCAAGCCCCGGCCAGGCCACGGCTAGACCTGTTGATTTTCCTGACCAACTGCCGGCCGATGATTCATTAAGCGGAAGAGCAAGGTCTCACAGTCAGTGGGCCGACGTCGCGAAATTCTTATTATTTGTGGCTCCCTTTCCAACCGTCTCCCCTTTCATCCCGCGGCCGTTTTATGTCTCTCTTTCTCTCCTCTTGTCCCTCGTGTGAGATGCTTGGTTACTTTCCGTCTTTGGCAGAGGGATGCGCTCTGCTGGCTACACTGTAAATGTCCTACGGTGGTGAAAGGCTGCACCAACATATTATGGTGGAGATTTTCTCCATAATACCAACGAAATTCATCAAAATATCTATAAGTTACAGTGAATTCTGAATGGTATGTTATGGAGTCAGCTGCTCCACCATAATATGGAACATTTTCACCATAATATGGAGAATCTTCACTGTGCAACATTTAGAGTGTATGACACTGTAGTCCGGCGCAAGCACGAGATACGTGAGGGCTTTCCTCCTGATCAATGTTATTCAAATTGCAGGTGTCTGGTCGCGCTGCGCTAGTCCACTCAGGAGGCCCGGACATCGACAACCCAGCGAACTGAATTCTATACTTGTGTGATTTGGGTGTTCAATTCAACGAGTGCTCTTAAAATGGGCTAATTTTTATCTTAATTAACCGCCCCGGAAAAATATTACCGATGAACATAAATGAAAGACCGTCCCGGCCGTGAGTTGTTTGGCCTGACAGGCCTTCGGTATCGACAGGGCCATTTGTCGCGTGGGTGCACTCACACTGCAACGTCAGACGAACACCTGCGTTCCATTAAGTCCGTCTGTCTCCCTCGCACTCACGGGGCGAGCCGCAGGGGTGCGAGAGAGACAGTCCGCCTTCGCAATTGCTGAAAGGGAAGGAGTGATGGGTGAGTTCCTCGCCAGACCATTCTTTGCCGTGCGACTGGGCCCACTGGGCGGCCCACGGTGGGCCACGGTGGGCCGATTGAAGTGTGCCCGGACAGCGGCTGTCATGCCCTGACAAATAGCGCCAACTAGCTCCGTTATCTGTCTCTGTCACTCTGCTTTTGCAGTGTAACGCGTCACCGAGTAACACAGTTAAGAACGAAGATGGGAAATTCGGGGCACTTGCCCAGCGCACAGTGGGCCAGAAGACCGTTGGAGGTGGTCAAAATCCCAGACGCGTTTTGACCTCCAGAATCGAGTACACGAACCGAACGTGTGACCCCACCAATGGATTGCTCTCCGAACGAGGAATCCATTGATGGGGTCACACGGTCCCATTTATCGACCCTGAAGCTCAAAACATCCCTGCAGTTTTGACCACCTCCACTGGTTTTCTGGCCTACTGTGCAGCGGTTAGGTGGCTGACTAAAAGTTGGCCCAAAAAAGTGCATTTCCATTCAGCGTGTGGGTGGATCCCTCCCCGGCCAGCCCGGCTGGGCGCAGCATTTCATTACCAAGGCACGCCGCCGCCCTGACAAGGGGATGTTTTCATCGGCGAATTATTTCCAGCAAATGAAATTGCGAAAAGTGAGGAAAAAATAAATTAAAGGCACACCTTGCTTCCTGTCTGGCACCCCTTTCCGGGGCCGCAAGGGCCGGAGGGGCGGCCGCCTTTGTGCGACAGAGAAAGAAGTCGAAATGGCTGTACGGGGAAGCGAGCGGGAACGGGAACCGCTCAAGGAGCAGCCATCCCCTTCACCACAAAGATTTAATTTTCCGGCTGAATATAAATCATATGACACAAGGACTTCTGCCCGGGGGAGCAGGGAGGCGCTGTGAGTGGTGGCCGTGGATAAGTGGCTGGGGGAAGCCCAGCGCCCGGCGTGGCGCGGCGTGGCGCGGCGTGGCGCGGCACGGCCCGCAAGCCTCAGTGAACACAAGTACCTGAGGGCCCCTCTGCTCTGCAGTGTGTACTTGTGAGGAACACTGGAATTGGATTTCCCACAAATACGCTTCTAAATCGAACGTTTCCCCCAGAAAACTGCCGATCAGAGCCACTAAAAAAAGGAGCGTTCTTTTATGACAAACTCAAAAAAGTAGTCAGTAGAATAAGACTTTTAGTCACGAATTCTTTATTTCGATAACTTTGAGACATATGCCAGTAGACTCGACAAAAATATTCCGTTATTACAAAAGAGAAATCAGAGGTACCGTAGAACAATAAATAGTTGGATGAAACGCATGGCAAGAATAAAAACTTGGTGTTTACTTTAAAAAGCATTTCGGGTTCAATTCATTATTTATGTCGATAACATGTTGGGAAAGCAAATTTGTGATGAGACAAGAACATTTCAAATGTTACTACCATAATGTACAACACGTCACGCTTCATAATTTTATCTGTACAAGACGCTATTTACACTTTTATACAAAATTTTATAAATAATTTGTACACTTTGTGCTACCGATGCATGTGCGAGAAATCCATTTTAAAGTTCCCTACTATCTGGTCTTACTCTAGAGGTGATTCCGTAGCAGGTACAGTGTGTGAAATATGCAAGCTAACGTTTTGAAAAAAAAAATCATCATTTAGTTTATTTTTTCAAAATATTTTAAAGGGAAGCGCTACTTTTAAACCTGGTGCTAAAACAGTAACTCCAAATACAAGGGAAGTAGCAGGAGCGCGTTTGAGTGAACTGTCAAAAAGTACTCATCACAGAAGTTCGGTTTTCAGCAAACTTGAAATAAGTGGAAGGTTTTGATTCATTGTGTTTCGCGTTGATCACTATTTGTCTAGGCCTCCAAACGAAACACAGAATAGCGGAAACTACTAACGATACATTTCGCACTTCATCCCTGGGGAACCTACTCCCCTTTGGAATTTTATTTACAAAGGTAAGCGGTGACTTCACCTCAGAACACGAAGCGGGTGACGACGACGAACCTTATAATTGTAATTTTACTAATTGAACAGAGAATAGTATTCACTGACAAAACCCGGCCGCACCCTGGAAACGCCTCCACTCAGCAAAATGATCGATTTACTAAAACGGTATTAAACGTCAATTGTAGACATAGATGCGAAATAATTTCTGTTAAATACTGCGATTTTCTTTTACTTGCGATGAATGCCCTCCTGGGTGCACACTGTGAAAATTTAGGTTGTCACTTGATGACGACGAAAACGGTTGTGCCCATGCAATCGGTAAAGGAGCTTTGGAAAAAAAAAATCGTCATCAATTTCTGATGAAATTATTACCGTTTCTAAATAGAGATGAAGATAGTTATCAACAATTTTGCCATAGAGTGACAACAAATTTTTACAGAGCAGTAGTTGACATCCCGCGTAGGCACTGTGAAGCCTTCCGGCCGGCCGCCTTACAATCTACTCTTAAAAACGAAGCACAACTTTTTAAGCTATTCAGTCGGTGTGTTTGGATCCGAGGGGCGCGGCTCGGCGGCTCGGCGGCGCGCTGCAAGTCATCGCTCTGGATGACGGTGGCGTGCACCGCGGCCGCTGTCCGTCTGTCCGCCCGCCGCACCGCCGTCTGCCTGCCTGCGCACGGTGTGCCTGCGTCACGAGGTCCTTCTCGGGGGTCTTCACGTGCGGCGGAGCAGGGCCGCGGCGAGCAGCAGCAGCGCCAGCGCCGCGGGGGCCGTCCGCGCGCCGCCGCCGCCCTTCACTGCGCACAAGAACAAGGCCGAGATCGTCAAGTGCCGATTGCGCGCCAAATTTGAATGCGTCGCCAATCTGACGCGCCTATCGCGATGCGTCGCGATGCGTCGCGGCCCGGAGAAAAAGACAAGGCCGCGAAGAAAAACAACAAGAAATTTTTGCCGGAGCAAACAAACCCTAGCAACCCCCTCATGGGGGGGAAAAACTCCAGCCAAATTTGTACACCATAATTCAACAAACATTTGAAATTCACTGAAATTCGGTAAAATTTATCGAAATTCTTCGCAAATTTCACTAGGTTTTGACTGAAATTCATCGAAATTCAACTAAAATTAAATTCCCAGTGATTTCCAATTTTCAAAAAAATGAGTGGAAAAGTGAAAGTACTCACACTCGAAGAAGGCCTCGCGGTTCTGCAGCATCCGGGCCTCGTGCGCGTCGTCGTCGTTGACCACCTCGTGCTTGGTGTGCGACCGCCACAGCTCGGTGGACACGGTGGCCACGCAGCGCAGCACCATGGAGCCGTCGCGGAAGTGGTGCGGCCGGATGGTGAAGCGCAGTCCCAGCATGGTGGTGTACAGCCCGTGCGCGTGCTTGGCGTGGGGGTGCTCCTCCAGGTGGCTGGGCTCCGTCACCTGCAACACCGTCATGATGCCATGAGCGTGAGGGGGCGCTCAATGGGCCAGAAGACCGGTGGAGGCGGACAAAACTCCAGACGCGTTTTGAGCTCCAGAGTCGCTAAACAGGCCTCGAACCGAACGTGTGACCCTACCAATGGATTCCTCGTTCGGAGGCAATCCATTGGTGGGGTCACACGTTCGGTTCGAGTCCCATTTAGCGACTCTGGAGCTCAAAACGCGTCTAGAGTTTTGTCCGCCCCCACCGGCCTTCTAGCCCACTGTGGGGCGCACAGCAGCTGGGTGACGGACCGGGTTGCCGAGCGGGCCGCAGCTGCCCAGCATCGACTAGCTCAGGGCGGGGCGAACCCAGGTGGGAGCACCTGCCGCCGCCAACCGCGCGGCCTGAGTGCACCCAGCGACATTTTAATTATCTTCCGAGGGGGCGCTGCTGCCTGTGCGTCCGCCCCGCCCCGCCCCGCCCCACCCCGCCCCGCCCCGCCCCGCCCCGCCAGGACTCCCCCCTCCGACAAGACGCCGTTTGATCCCGGGCCCTCGCCCCGGCCGGGGCCTTGATAGATATGCAGAGGGCGTGTGAGCACGTCCCAGGCCGCCCCGCCCTGGGGCCGCCACGCCGCGCAGCCAGGGCGGGGCCAGGGCGCGGCCAGCCCGGACACGGACACGGCGCGGCCACAAGGGTGGGCCGGGCGCCTGCTAAGCGTAGGGTAGGCAACCCGCTGCACTGTAGAGGCGCTGTGTTGCCTATCCTCTGATCCGCAGGGGCCCACCGCACCGCGGCGGACTCGCACATCTCTCTCTCTCTCTCTCTCTCTCTCTCTCTCTCTCTCTCTCTCTCTCTCTCTCTCTCTCTCTCCCGCGCATGCACGGCCGAGCACAAACAATTGGATGCCACAATGGCGGCGTGTCACCGCCTTGCCGGCTTGGCGGTAACAACCTTGCAATCTCACGCCGCCCCCACCTTCGCTCCCCATGTACACACACACACACTCACACACGGACAGAGGGAGCAGGTGAGATACCGACTACCGACAAACGCACCCCCAATGTGATGGCCTGTGCACACCCAGATGCGATGTCACCTGGGGGTAGTCAATTTCAAATGAAGGCCCAAGCCCAAAATACTCCGGTGCACAGACCTTTTCAAAATACATCCAAAAAAGAATTTTCAAGACGACAGTGGAGCGTTGTTTGGCATTCAGGTTTTCAAAACGCCTTTCATTTCAAAAATTATCGATCTTTATCGCGACGCACTCTCTTTTCTCTCGTCTCCACATGCATAAAGTAGTCCGCGACGCAGAGACGCTGTGGCGCGCAGACGAGGCGCGGGGTTTATCTCCCACCTGGCAGTGCGGCACTGCAAATAAAAACAACAACAACAACAACAACAGGTCCGGGGCCACTTTTTCCCCGATGCACGCGGGCGAGTCGGACGTCCGGTCTCGGGCGGAGGCGCGGAGGCGCTCGGCCTTTTGTCGTGTGTTGGAAGCTGGCAGCAGCGTGGCTGGCGTGCCGACATCGCATTCAGCGTGGAGGGCATGGAGGGGCTGAGCCGCGTAAAAGGAGGTTAGGTTGCCTAAGTCCCCCCTGGGCTCGCCCCTGGGCCCTAATAGGACCAAGGGACGGCCTTTTTCGGCGCGGCATAAGGTCCTTAGCGGAACCCCGCAGAGAGAGCGAGACAGAGGGAGGCGGGGAGGTCACACCACCTGACTTGGCACCTCCGGGCTCGCTCCGGGGGCGGCACAGAATTTATCGTATTCACGCCGGAGTGGTACAGCAACACTTTAACTTATCCTTGGAGTGGGCCCAACAACGGGGGGGGGGGGGCATCGAAAAGCCACAGCGGGGTCTCGAGCCAAGAACGGTCGTCGCCCACCATCTTGAAACGCACACACAAAAAGAAAAACGAAAAGAAATGGAAAGTTTTTACTTTTGCCGGAAAAAGAGGCGGTGTGACTGCAGGCTGCAGCGAGTGCACAGTAACCCTGGCGAAACGGCGAGGCGAGACGTCAGTAGCGCGGCGGTCTTCGAGTCGACAGAGTGCAGCGGAGTGCGAGCTGCTGCATCGCAGTGGGCCAGTTCGCTGGCAAGCCGCGGCCAGGCTGTCGCTCTGTCTCTCTCGCACTCAGGGGCCGTCCCGTTGGGGTGCGACAGAGACAGAGATCGCTTCGGCGGCAGGCCTCGAGGCTCGCGCCGAGGAGGAGGCCAAATAGCAAACTTTTAATTCAAAGTATACCAAGGCAAGTTTGCGGCGAGGCGGCTGTTCAAACGAGAAACCAGTGAGCGGCGCGGGCGGCGCGGCAAGGCGCTGATCCGGGTTTAAAACCGGAAGCACAACACCGGAAAGGCTACCGCTGCAGGTGGTCGGGCGGGCCGCACAGTGGGTCAGAAGACCGGTGGAGGTGGCCAAAATTCTAAACGCGTTTTGAGCTCCAGAGTGGCTAAATGGGACTCGCACCGAACGTGTGACCCCACCAATGGTTTGCTCTCCTAACGAGGAATCCATTGGTAGGGTCACACGTTTGATTCGAGACCTCTTAAGCGAATCTGGAGCTCAAAACGCGTCTAGAGTTTTGGCCGCCTCCACCGGTCTTCTGGCCCACTGTGCGCCGTAAACTCCTGGCCACCTGGTTGACCCTCGTCGGCTCGCTCGTCGGCGAGGTGGCGACCGCCTCATTCATCGCGTGGCCCGGAGTGCTGTTCGGGGAACCCTTATCACCGCAGTACTGGCCAGGTTCGTCCGTCTGTGCGCCGAGCTGTGTGATGCGCCTCCGCCACCGTGTCGGTCTACGCGACAACGATTCCGTCTTTGTACCTGCCTCTGTGCCTAACGAGCTACCCGACCGAACGAGTCCACTGTGGAACTGGGTTGCCAACGGACGCCTTGTTTTGCTCGTCCGTGAACTAAATTCGAATTCGCACTCAGCTCGCCAGCTAGTTGGTCAGCCCGCCGCTCCGTTCATGCCGAGGCCTCGGTCAGTGCGCAACAATGTCAGAATTATTCTCTTCCAACTTCCAGCAGCCTCCGCCTCCTCTCTCTCTCTCTCTCTCTCTCTCTCTCTCTCTCTCTCTCCCTCTCCGCGTGCCTTGCGGGATGCGCGGCGGGCGAGGATCTAGACTCTGCGGACTCCGGTTTACGGGCTCCACTCGACCCCACCTGCCCGTCCGGCACCGGGCGGGGGGTGTAAATGCAACACACTGAGAGATTGAAAGCAGAGACAGCGTCCCAGGCGCACAGTGGGTCAGAAGACCGGTGGAGGCGGCAAAAATTCTAGACGAGTTTTGAGCTCCAGAGTCGCTAAACAGGACTCGAACCTAACGTGTGACCCCACCAATGGATTCCTCGTCCGGAGAGCAATCCATTGATGGGGTCACACGTTCGGTTCGAGACCCATTTAGCAACTCTGGAGCTCAAAACGCGTCTAGAATTTTTGGCCGCCTCCACCGGTCTTCTGGCCCACTGTGAGGCGGTACGAACCTGCTGCGAGTGGAACGCGGAACCCAAACTCGTCCGGGACAGTCGGAGAAAACGAAGAAGAAGGGTCCGGATTTGGGCGGTGGCCCAGCGGGGGCAACAGACAGTGGGATGGCCGCACTGGCTGGGGTCTAATTCCGGGCGCCTCCATGTAGCAAGCCGTGGCTAGCCGTGGCGGCAGCAAGGCCCGGCAAGCGGAGCGCGCGGAGCAAGCAAGCGGACGTGCAATGAAACCTGACGATTCCGTCTGAGGCGTGGCGGGGCGGCGGGGCGGCAGGGCGGCGGGGCGGCGGGGCGTGCCAGTGCCCGCGTAGTGGAGGGGCGTCCGAACCGCGGCGGTGAGGGGCAATGCCGTCTCGGACGCAGCCGCTCGAAGGCAGCGCCAAGGCAGCGCCAAAGGATTCAATTCTCCGGCCGAGGTGCGCGAAAGGAACGTCGGGAGGCCGCCGTGCCCGGTCCGGGGCGGAAGCATGCCAGCAAGGCCGGCAAGGCCAGCAAGGCCGTCGTCCTGGTCCTCGACGCCTGGCTGCAGCAATGCAGGGCGACGCCACGCCTGGAGCCAATTAAATCCCGCCCCGCCCCGCCCCGCCCCGCCCCGCCCCGCCCCGCCCCGCCCCGCCCCGCCCCGCCCCGCCCCGCCCCGCCCCGCCCCAGCGTGTGAGAGGGCGGCGGCGGCGCGGCGGGCGGCGGAGCGAAAGGAAGGACCGTGAGGACGCCGCGCCGCCGTCCCGCGGCCCTTCGCCTCCCCTTCCAGTCTGGCCGTGTTGTCTCCGGGACGCGCACAAACCGGACAAAAAAAATATACCGTGGACCCGTGTTTCGACCCGGGTGAGTATATTCACTGCGCGATACGTACCGGAAAGAGTGCATTTGGAATATTTTAAAGTACACAGTGTTTTTAGGGTTCCAAATTTATTTATTTTTAAATTCAAGCTCAAAGCTCAAAACGCGTCTAGAATTTTGGCCGCTTCCACTGGTCTTCTGGCCCACTGTGCGCTGGCAGTGTCGGCACCGGACTGCGTTGGCTGCGTTAGCGGGTCGTCCGGACTCGGCCGACGCCAATGGCCCCAGGGAATGGCGGGGAAGTGAGACTTTGTGTTGAGGAGACGGCGACGAGGGGGAGGGGGGAGTGAGAGGGACAGAGAGGGAGGGACGGAGCGAGAAAGGAGGGGGTGCTTGCGGACGTGACAGGTGAGGCCGGCATATACAGAGACACGAGTTTGCGTTGTATCGGAGTGCCGCGAAATCGTTTCCTGCTTGACGAAGCACGTGAGGAAAAAAATGTTAAAAGAAGAAGCAAGTTTGTGGGCGAGTGCGAACCCCAACGATTCCATGTCTTCCAATCAAGACAGACTGCCCGTTCGTCGGTCGGTTACTGGAATGATTACGTCTGCTGGGACCAGGGAAAATCTCTGACGCACTCTGCCGAGGTTTTAAAACAAGCTTTGCCTGGGAAATCGTCCCTGACCCCGCCGGGGCGCGCCCTGACCTGCGAGCGTGTCTGCGAGCCATTGCTGCCAACCCA